AACAGAATATTTATGAATAACAACAGCATTCTGTTGTGGACATGGAATCCCTGGGTGATACAAACAGATAACATATTCTGCTGCTGACTGAAAGGCTGCATGTTCAATTCTGCCCAGAGGCCTGTTGATCCACTTCCCAAAGATCACACTCCCTGAAAACCCTATGGGCACAGTTGTACTCTGACACCCATGGGGTCATCTTAATTTGGATTCAACCCAATGGCAACTGGTACTGGTTTGTGTAATCATTCATTTATACAACATTATTGATTTCCACTGTGTTTGGAATACTGAACAAGATGCTCTGAATACAGAGATTAATAAAACAGTCTGTGCTGACAATCATCTGTACCACTCGTTGGACACTTACTGTTTTACAGAGCACTGGGCATTGTCAGATACGTATTTCATTCACTCTTTATACCAACCTTAGGTAGGAGTTGATAAGGACACATAAATAGTGAATAAACATTTTCTTTTTGCAGTTACAACTTTAGCCCTGATTTCCTTCTTAGCATGGAGTCCTGGTGTGCCACTCTACAGTATGCACTGACTGCTAACTGCAAGGTTGGTGATTGAAACCCACCAACCCCTGCTTGGAAACCCTATACAGGGTCAATATGAGTTGGAACCAACTCAGTGGCACTTAATGAAACAAGAACAACAGCCCTTTTACCATAGAAGACATCTATGAAGTAAGGGGATAATTACTAATTCTGTCTTGTGTTGTAATCATTTAAATAGATTGTTTTCTTACCTACTAGGTTTAAGTCCCTTTTGGGCACGAGACTTGATTTACCATGATACTTAGTAGAGATGATATGGTGATAAATTCAGGCAGACCTTAGATTATATTTGGTTCTGCTAACAAACTGCTATAGGTTTTTCAAACCTTCTTCCCTTTATCTGTAAAATTGGCATAATCTGTAAAAATGGGCTGTTGTTCTTGTTTCATTAAGTGCCACTGAGTTGGTTCCAACTCATATTGACCCTGTATAGGGTTTCCAAGCAGGGGTTGGTGGGTTTCAATCACCAACCTTGCAGTTAGCAGTCAGTGCATACTGTAGAGTGGCACACCAGGACTCCATGCTAAGAAGGAAATCAGGGCTAAAGTTGTAACTGCAAAAAGAAAATGTTTATTCACTATTTATGTGTCCTTATCAACTCTGCATCTATTGGCTAGTTTTAGCCTGGCGTCCTGCTAACCACAAGGTTGTCAGTTCAAACCCACCAGCCACTACTTGGAAACACTATACAGGGTTACTGTGAGTCCAAACCAACAAACTGGAACTTAACAACAACAACAATAATCAAGGAATGTATATGATTTTGACTCTAGAAACTAAGAATGCTATTTTGCATTTTATGGTATGGTGAGAAGGTCAATATTTTCACATAACAGGCTTCCAAAGTCAGGCAAGAGTTAACAATTAGAATTCACTGAAGAATACAATCTGTTCTGAATTTTCCTACAGTTCTTTTCTGTGTTTGTTCCTTTAACAAGTTCTTTGAATTCTGATAATGATAACCCTCCTTTTATAGTCACAGTCTCAAGGCAAATGCTCTAAAAACCTGCTGCTGTAGAATCCATTCTTACTCACAGCATTCTATAGGACTGGGTAGAACGGCACCATAGGGTTTCCAAGGCTGCAGAACTTTACAGATGCACACTGCCACATCTCTCTTCCACAGAGGGACTGGTACATTTGACTTCTTAACTACGGTGCCACTGGGGCTCCTTGGCAAATGTGCGACAGGCTCAATGCCCTTATAGTTTGCAAAGAGTCAAGACAAATATCATTAATGTACAGACAGAATACCCAGCTGTACACAATTCAAGTGCCTTTTCTCATGGGGATAGCAAACTGCAAACAAATCGTGAATGCCTTCCTACTTGGTTACTTACTCAGAAATGTACCTGCCAGGTCAGTTTCTAAATGGGGCCTTTAGAAGAGTTGATTTTGTTTTATTGAGGTGGAGAGATATGAAATAGAGCCAGAAGGTTAATATGAGTTTACTAGAAGCATTAGGTTATCTTGGCAATTAAAGACTCTCCAGGAGGTTAATTACCTATACCCAGCACTTACAACTCACAAAATGTACCAGCAGTTAGAAAAATCTGTGTGCAACAGAAAACTTTATACTGCACTCTCAAGAATATTACTTTTTTATTTTTCAGGGCTAAGTTAAAACAATATCTCTTCCATGAACCATTCAAGAAAAAAAAAAAAAAGCATGTCATTCAAACAATCACAGTACTGGCATACAGAAAAACGAAAACAACAAAGAAACCAAAGTGACCAAGAATAGTACAATTTACGGAGTGAAAGCATGAGCGTGTGCGTGAGAGAAAGCAAGCGAGAAGAGTGAGCGAAGAGAGAGAGAATGATGGAGATTCAGCTGGTTTTTGAAAGCCTTAAGCACAAATTTACTAAATAAAGGAATACATGTGACCAGGGCTTCTGAAAGTGGTCAGAACAACAGTATACGCTCAACGGCAAGTTCTCATGATTCAGATGAACTACAGGTTTTAAAGTGTTCACTATGAAAGCCTGAGAAAAGCCAGTTTGCCTGAAGGGATTTGGATTACAGAACACTGAAGGGATTTGGATTAGACAGCAATTCTCGTTTTGACCTAACAGCACTCACCTTTGTGCAACCCACCACCATTTTCTCTCACCTGGAGTGCAGGTTGGACCCCTGCAAAAGCCTCCCACAGTGTCTGCAAAGCCTCAAGCGCCCTGCCCTAGCTCATCTCTGCCCAGCAGAGGAGCCAGTGATTTCTTATAATAGGAAACACATCATGTCATCCTCTGCTAAATGTTCCAGTGGTTTTCACTGAGTCAGAAGAGAAACAACAAATAAAATAATCCCTCTGTTTGCTTGATGTCCTATCAATCCTCATCACTTACGTCATGCCATTCAACCTTTGATAATAATGGTCTTAGTCTGCTTCTTGAGCACACCGACCTTGGCTTCAGTGTCACCGCCTATGACCCCTCACATTCAGGTATTCCCATTGTTGTTAAGTGCCGTCGAGTCGGTTCTGACCCATAGTGACTCTGAATAGGGTTTCCAAGGACTGACTGGTGAGCTTGAACCACCAACCTTATAGTTCAAATGGCTTTGCAGTCTGACGCATACTGCCACACCAAGACTCCTAGTTACTGCGTGTATTTGTTCATTGTATGCAAGCTGTCCTTTCTGTTCACTGCATCCCCAGAACCTTGGACAGCCCCTGGGATTTTAATTTCCTAAAAATTTTATGAGACTGTTAATTGTTACACTGAATCCTGAAGCAGATTATGTCAGATACAGAGAAATGGCGTCCTAAATCTCAATTTGTGTCAGTATGAAGTATCAGCATCTATGTATGTCTAACAAGGAGGTGAAGTTACTAAAGATTCTTTTGGAAAGTTCATTTATATGCCTGAGATGCACTCTTGTCACTTTCCCCCACCACAGATACACCCTGTGACAGTCACACTCCACACCATGTGCTCCCAATAACACTACCTTGCAAGGGACAGACAGTAAGTGATCTCAGTCAGACTCCCCAGCTAATGAGACACCCTCCTTCCTCCCTGCTGGCAGGTAATGGGTTCAACTAGCTGAGAACACAGCCACTCCAGGAGTCCTGAGCTCCTTTCTGGAAAGGGAAGGAACACATAAATATAATATAAGGTGTCATTATTCTGGCAAACACCTTCTCATTCTGGACCAGGTTGGTATTGCAGCCCATGAGCATGATTTTAGAAAATAATTATTTTGGGGCATTCCATAATCTCTCAACTTCATGAGACGATAGCAACATTTTTAAAGGACTATGATAAAAAATAATGATCTTTTCTTATGTGTAATGCTTTAAGAATTTTAGAAACAGTTGGCTTTAAAATCTAATATTTGATCCTAATAATGATCCTTTCATGTATATAGAGTAGTTATTATTTGCCACATTTTACAGCAGGGGAAACTGAGGCCCTGAGCAATTAAACAGCATCATTTAGAGGTCCAGGGTAATTACGCAGCGCGGCTTCAGGCTTCAGGCGCTCCAACAACTAGCCCGGCATCTGTCACTAAGTCATCACTGATGGACTGATTTAAAGAAGAAACTTCCAAGATAGTTCCTTCTGAGATCAATGATTTTATGAGAAGATGAAAGGAGAGTATATGTGTGTTTGTCAGGAGGAGCTGTGGGTTCCTGTAAGTGTTTCTCACAAAGCAGCAGATCATTTTAGAAGCAGAAGCGCATTATAAATTCTTAACAAAACCCTAAGTTCTATATGTTGTCATCTGTTCCCTATCAGACTGCCACACATAAATCACAGTATCCTACAGTCTACCTAGACTTCAGGCTTCCAAAAAAGATATGTGATATGTATGGAAGGAACAGTCCCCTAAGCTCTTTCCCATCTATTTTCTCATGCCATGTCTTCCTTTCTACCTTTTTTTTTTTCCCTCTAGAAATGGTCTTGTAGTTTATATCGCTGCTGTTTCTGTCCTAATGAGTTATAGGAGTACATTTTATGGTTTCAGAAACAGCCATCTCAGGCAGTGAATCGACTAGCAGCCTTCTCTTCCTCAACCATCTCAAAAGAAAAGAAATGTAGAATAAAGCAGTGCACTTCTTCATAAATGAAGTACTTCACTTTATCTGGAACACGTCTGCTCTTCTCTTTTTATATCCGAGGCCGCAGTGGCTTATTGGGCTCTGCTCCTGAACTTTCTTTTCTGATTATTGACAGAGGGGTCTGAAGTCAAGACAGACATGTTGATAAATCTTGCTGTTTCCAGTGACAGGCAAAGTCTGCTGGCTTGCTCAGTGCACAAAAGAACGTTCAAAAGGAACACACGAGAAATCACCAAATCAGAACCAATGAGCCCAAGGGAATTTTTAAAACTCACTGCTCAAATAAATTAATGTTCTAGCTTATGTTGAAGGTTAAAGAAGTTTAGTGAAAGTCAGATTTAATGAAGTCGAGTTCCCTCGATGTGCTTACCTCCAGAAAATGTTCTGCCTGCTGTTCTCGATCCAATTTCCTTGAAGTTGTTGTAATCAGACCTGTGTAGAAATGAAAATATTTGAATTTTAAATATCTGGAGCAAGAAGTTTACTGCACATGGGAAAAAAGTCCAGTTAAAGGAAGAGCAAAATTAATCGGGGATAATAACTTTCTAATCCCCATCTGGAATTCAGATGGTCCCAGAAATTAATCTTGAAACAAAATAAAATTCGCAAAGAGAACTCCCAAAATTTGTTTCAAGTCTGCTTACAGTTGAGGTATTGTAATCACTTTGGGGATATACAAACTCACCAAAGAACTATTGTTTTTCTCATAATGAGGAGTTTCAATGATTCATTTACATATGACTGAAATTCTAGAGAAAGAACCTCATTAATGATTTTAGAGATCTTGAACAATTAATAGGTTGTTGATGCTGATTAGATTCAGGCTAAGAAACAGCACTTTCTTATTTAATTTTTATATACTTGTATAATTTTTTATTCTACTTGACAAAGAAGATTATTTCTGTAATAATGACTTGTACACATAATTACATCAAATTTAATAGCTTTTACACACCAAGGATCTCATTTTATAATTTTATCACTTTGTTTTACATGTTTAAATCTTTCCACAAAATAAGTTCCACATGAGTATGTCTCTCTATCTTTTCTCTCAATGATATTTCTCATAAATGAATTACCCATTTAAGTATAAAGATAAAGAACAGGGAAGAAGACAACAAAACCTTCAAGGCCTCCCAGCTTATTGCTCTAATATATTTTTTGGAGGCTTTATTATTATTACTGTCAAATGATAATTAGGAGACCAAATTTATATCCCATTTCTAGATTCCACGATGTCTCTGAGGAGAATATGAGTTGAGTTGTTTTCATGGTATATCCTCATTGCCAGGGAAAGAACAGACAGATAACCACATGAAATGCTCACTTTCAATGTTGATGGGGGGCGTGAAATACAGAAACTTTGTCAAGATGTGTAGAGGAGTGCACAGCTTTGAGTTTCCATTTTACAATGAAGTGGTGGGTGAGAATTCACAGATTTTACAGAAAGCCAAACAGGATGCTAAATCGGTCCCCAGGACCATCAAAATCAGATCTCCCATTCTATGTCGTGGCTCCTTAGACTCTGGTACCACATTCGAGAGAAAACTCATGGAAAGGCAGATCATTTGTACAACTGAAACTTGAGCTTCCTCTATGGTGAGTGTAGGAAGCTGAGGATAGATGAGGAAACTTTAAGCATATTCTGTTTCCCTTCAATCCCAAATCATCCCAAATTGATTGTATCAGAATCGCCTGGGATAATGTCTAAGATAGTTCTCTGATTCTAAGGAAAAGGCTTTATCCATGTTAAATCTCACTATGGCTTTTGATTGAAGTTGATTTTTCTGTCCAGCTACATCCAAGAGTAAAATACACTGAGTTGTTCTAGCAGTTGGATCAGACCATCAAGCTCAGTGTGTGTGTGTGACAGAGACAGAGCATGTGTGTGTGAGAGAATATATGAGAGTGTGCGTGAGTGTGTGCGTGAGAAAGAGAATGAGAGTGTCTGTGAGAGACAGAGAGACTGAAGAGAGAGGAAGGCATGAGCGTATTTGGGGAGGGGGTAATAAAGGCAGTATAAACAGAAGCATAGCTCTATGATTCACATTGACTAAGAGACTCAGCGTCCACACCAGTAGGCATCTAACACACGAATCTGACACCTTCCATTTTAGAAATTTGACAAGGTCATACATCATGCTGAAGTAACTCCTTTTCCCACAAGGAAGTGAGAAGCTCTCCCGGGTCTCACCACCTCTTCAGTGGGGTGTTAGAGGACACAGTAGAGATAATCAATACTTGTGAGAGTAAGGCTCTAAGTGGGTGAAAGAACTGTCAAACTCCATTCTGCTGCTCTATCTGATGACCAGCAGCTCCTTTGCCCTGTGTTTGCCCACAGCCTCCCAGGTCATTTCAAAGTCTTCCTCGCCTGAGCTCATCCAGCGCTGGCCCACTGGGGAGTGACTGTGCCTACGAAGGAGCTCAGCTTCCTCTCCTGAGTATTCCCAGGGAAAATCTTTAGGAAATTCACTTATTTTCACAATGTACATGTACTACTGGGAGAGCAGTGTGAGTCCTTTCCATCTGTGTCCCTTAACCATCCAACAGAGAAAGAGACAGTCTGAAACAACATGCACAGCAGTGAGCCTAGGACTGACTGTAAAAACACCAAGCACTTTCTGTTCCTGGAGAAAAGGCAGGAAAACCTCTTCAGATTTCAGTTCTCGGGGGTCCTAAACTCATTGCCATCAAGACTATTCGGACTCACAGCAACCCGATAGGACAGAGAAGAATTGCCACATAAGAGTTTCCAAGGTAATAATCTTTACAGAAGCCACCTGCCACATTTTTCTTCCATGGAGATGCTGATGGGTTTGAACCATCAATCTTTTGTTGAGCAGTCCAGTGCTTTAACCATTATGCTATCAGGAATCCTCTATAAAGAAAAGGTAGGGAGGGAAATCCCAATCAAAAGGAAATTAGAGATGGGCTGAGGATAGAGAGTGACTGCTATTAGTGCATGGCTTCTTTTGGTGGTAAAAAAATAAAAGTTCTAAAATTAGAGGTTCTAGTGATGGTTGAACAATTCTTTAAATACTCTAAAATCAATGAATTATCCACTTTAAATGGTTGAACTTTATTGTGTGTAAAATACACATCAATAAAGCTGTTTACAAAGTCAGTAAGAAACCATAACCTCTGCCTTTGGAGTTTAAAAGTTTTTTGTGTTTGGAGTTAAAAATACTTAGTGAATGAATGAATGAATCAAGCAGTTTAGGAAACAGGCATGTAGAGGGATTGGAGTAAATGGAGTGATCTGGTTTGTCTAAGGGGATTCTGGAACACACAAACAACGATCAGAACATTCGTGTTAAAGAAAAACCTGACAGTTGTTTACACGAAACAAAAAGCCTTGTTATCAAACCAATCCAGTTGACTTCAAGTCAGTTTCCAATTCATAGCAACCTCATGTATGTCAATGTAGAACTATGGCCCACTGAGTTTTTGATGACTGATTTTGTGGAAGTAGATCATCCATGGCATATACGGAGCTCCTGAGCCTCCAGCCTTTTGGTTAGCAGTCAAACACATTAACTCTTTTGTGCTTGGCTTTCTAATGTGAGCTGTAGGATCAGCACTCGATTTCAAACCACAAGGTTAGCAGTTCAAACCTACCAACTGGTACTTGGAAACCCAATATAGAGTTACTATGAGTTGAAACCAACTCAACGGCACTTAACAACAACAACACTACCAAGGAGGGATGAAGCTTTCTGCCTTCTCATGGTACATACTGAAGTTGAGCAATGGTATCTCAGCAGCCATCATTTTTCACAGTTAGAAAGGAATACAGCAAGCCATCCTTCACAGTCCAGAGGAATTAACCAAAATTACCCAGGCAAGCTCAAAAGCAAAAAAGGACCAGGGTGACTGGTCAGTTAGACTAGAGCCCTTAATCACCCTTCAGGAAATTTCAGCCCAACAATAGACAGGTCTATAAGTAGAATAATAACACTAGTCAGGTATGTTCACCTTGGAATGATCAGACATTCAAGATCAGAAAGGCAACAGCTACCCAAGAGCTAGGGTTAGAAGAGGTATGAAAGGAGGAGGAATGTACACAAGAAACACAGGGAGGAAGTGAAATAGTGATGTTACGTTGAGGGGGTTGCAGTTCATGAGATGAGGCAAAATGTGTAAATCTGTTCTGTAAACCTTCACCCAATTCGCAATTTTAAAAATTCACAATGTCGTTGTTGTTAGGTGCCATGAAGTCGGTACCGACCCATAGCAACCTTATGCACAGCAGAATGAAACACTGCCTGGTCCTGCGCCAACCTCACTACTATTGCCACGCTTGAGTCCATTGATGTTGACACTTGGCCAATCCAGCTCACTGGGGGTTTTCCTCTTTTTCTCTGACCCTCCACATTACCAAACATGATATCCTTCTCCAGAAACTGATCCCCTGACGATATGTCCAAAGCATGAAAGACGAAGCTTGGCCATTCTGGCTTCCAAGGAGCACTCTGGCTGCACTTCTTTCAAAACAGATCTGTTGGTTCTTTTGGCAGCCCATGTCACTGTCAATATTCTCCTCCAACACCATAATTCAAAAGCATCAATTCTTCTATGATCTTCCTTATTCACTGCCCAGCTTTTGCATGCATATGAGGTTATTGAAAATACCATGGCTTGGGTCAGGCACACCTTAGTCCTCAAGCTGACATCTTTGCTCTTCAACACTT